CGTGGGGGTGGAGGCAGCCGCTCGTGGCTCTGTAAGGCTGGAAAGGGAGGCGGGGCGGGAAGTGGAATGGGAGGAGGGACGGGGCAGCTCAGGAAGACGAGGCTGCCCTGTGTCGCTGATCTGTGTCTCGCTGGGTCCCAAATCAGGTCATTGTGTCAGACTGTATGTTGTCAGAAGTCAACCAGACAGTCCCCACGGGGTCCACACAGAGAGGTCACATCTCCTGTTGAGGGACACTGGGGCGACCCTGTGAGGAGGGACATGAGGGCGATCCTGTGTCCTAAGCAGAGTGGCTCGAGTGCTGTCTTTGGGTCGACCTTGCAGTGACGGCTCCTCCGCGGCCTCCTCTTCCCCCACAGGTGCCAGCATGGAGTCTGATCACTGACGACTGGTGTCCCGGAGGGCCGAATCCTCAGCTGTCCCCCAGACCCGGGCAGGAGGCACGCGGCGGGAGCTCGGCCTCGCCATGGCGTCCCCCGGTGCAGAAAGCCAGCTGCAGAGGATCATCCGCGATCTGCAAGGTACCGGGTGCCAGGCTGGGTTTGAGGGCCTCGGAGCTGTGCTTTCACCCCTGCCGGTAGGATCCGGCCCTTTCCCTCTGTCCACGCCAGGAGTAAGGAGCCCTCAGACACGTCGCACTGAACCCTCGGCTCAGGTAGCCACCTGCCCCGCTCTCCTCTCCGGCGCCACCAAGCCAGTTTGTAAACAAAATCAAAGACCCTTCTCCAGAGCGGGGTCCAGTCTCGGGTGTGCCCATGTGTGTTTTCGAGCTGCCAGTTTGGTCCTTGAGTGAGTCACACCCCCAGCTCGGGGGAGCTGGCCCCATAGGAAGGGGCACCCCCATGGCAGGACTGATACCCGGCTGCCAGATGGCCACTCACTGCGGACACACTCCGGTCTGGTCCTGCCACCTCCCGGCCTTCCCGGGATCTCTCCTTCCAGTGAGGCAGCCGTGACAAGGAGGCCTTGCGCGATGGAGGAGGGGCAGACGAGGCTGACCTGGCGCGGGAGAAGCAGGCAGCTCTCTCTACTGGCTGCAGATTCTAAGCGTCACCTTCTCAGATGCCCCGAGGGTCGGGATTTGGGCAAGTGTCCCGTCCCCACCACCAGGGCTAGCCCGGGCGGCCTCTGCGAGCCCCAGCACGCTAGCTCAGCACGGCCCCCGGCGACTGCATCCTCCGTGCCTGCAGCTGCCTGAAGTCTGAGCGCGCAGGCAGACACAGCCAGCAGCCGTCCCACACAAAGGCCCCGAGCCCGTTCAGGCCCGGTGCCATTCTCATTCTGAAGGTCCGAGGTCCACGCGCTCCAGCTCGCCTTCCAGGCAGGTGGTCTGTCCGGCTGCCCCGGGAGCTGCTGAGAGCCGGGCATTCAGTTCACGGGCACCAGGCCCTGAACACGGCACCAGGCCCTCCGGACACGCATCTCCCGGAGTTTCTCACGAGTCCCCAGATTAGGTGCTGTGAGGTAGGTGTCATTATTATCCCCATTTGACAGATGAGGAGACGGCACAGGAAGGTTAAGTAACTCACCTAAGGTCACACAGCCAGCCAGGTGCAGGGCCCACCTTTGTGCACAGGCGGGCTGGCTCCGGCCTGTGCCCTTGGCCACGCCAGTCTGCTTTCAGCTGCAAATTTCTATTTTTCCCTGATCTACTCTGAGAGTCAGAGCAAGTAAAATGAGAGCTCCTGCAGGTGTGAGCTTGCCGTTGGCCCTCAGCTTCTGCCCCGTGGTAGGAGGTACTTTCTGGGCCATCTCTGGCTCTCAGTGGTAACTTCAGGACCCAGAGGTCCTTACTGGGTGGGAAGAAGCAGAAATAGAAGACCTTGAGGCAGCTCTGACCCAGCCACCGTCCACCCCACTTACCAGCCGAGCCGGGTCATCCCCGATGTCCTGAGCTGGTCTCGCCATTCTGAACATGGCCTGCTGCGCGGTCCGGTGGGACTTCTGAAAAGGAGCCACCGCCGAGGCCCCTCCCGTGTTTGTCGGTAGGTGTCTTTAGCCTACAGATCTGCAGCATCTACGCCAGGAGAGGTGTCCTTATCGAGCACACGGCCCTCAAGCCTCTGCAGGACAGCCCACTCAGCCGTTTGGTGACGGCAGTCACAGGGCTTTGGAGTCAGGCAGGCCTGGCACAGCCCCCAGCTCTGCCCTGTGACCCTGGAAAGCATGGGACAGGCCCTCTCACCCTTCCAGTGTGTGTGGCCTCCGTCGTGTGGTGGTAACACCCCCTTGTCAAGGTTGTTGAGACAGTCACGTATGAGCTTCAGGTAAAGTTGTCGTCAGCCATAAACGAACGTGGAGAGCGGAGCCGAGAGTGGGGCGCGTCGATCTCCTATCCGAAGGCTCCTTCTCCCCGAGTGTCTCCCCAGGTGGGAGGGATGCAGGAGGAGGAAGGCTGCGTCTTCCCAGGCCCATGGCCCCCCAGCTCAGTGGCGGCCACAGCGGACTCTCAGGGGACACAGCTGGACAGCAGTCCCTTGTTGCAGGGATCAGCCCCGAGAACTGCCTGCACCAGCTGCTCATCTGTGCCTGTGGGGTCGGCCCTGACTCCACTTTCAGCCAGTGCCGTTTCAGTCCTCGGAGGTCTCTTCCACACTGTGGTGCTTGAGAGCAGGGGCTGGGGGCTCTCTGTGCTTAGAGTTTTCTCCAGCGTAGCAGCCACCCAGCAGGGGAGAGGCTTCCCAGTATCTAAGCAAAACCCTCTGTCTGTCCACAGCCAAGGTGGGGTGAGGCAGAGGAGGCCCTCTCCTCTCCTGCACAACGAAGTGATTATCTGAGCAGTTGAGGAGCAGGGTCTGGGGTCAGAAACCGCTGGGAAACCACGGTTCTTATCCCAGCTCTGCCATCTGTCACCTGTGACCTTTGGCCAGGTGCTCTGACCACCCTGTGCAGTCCGCAGCTGTAAAATGGGGACAGTAAAGCCAGACTTCAGAGATGTTGAGTCACACTTTTTTTTCATATTGTAACAGCTCGCTCTGAAATTGAGACGCATCTTAAAGTCAGTTGTACCTTAGATTGGTTGAAGCAGGGCAATCCGTGCCTCACAGCCCTGTGTTAAATGACAAACAATACTTTGGACTTTCCAATAGAGCTGTTAAAAAAGATCTTGAATGGTCTCACCACTCACCACAAGAAAAGAAGTGTTGGAGGTGATGGACGTGCCAGTAATCTGAGCACTGCTCACTGTGTGCACGTATTGAGACGCTACCCTGTTACCACAGATACGCACGAGTTTTACATGCCAGCTGAAACGGAAATCAGGAACCATGAGAGGGACACGTGCAGACCTGGCCCCTCGTGGGCACCCAGTCACCAGCGGGAGGTGGTGGCGCCAGTGCTGGGGTGGTCCTTACCATTACTGTTATCTGACAGACTGGGCGTTCTTTATTTTTGGGGGAGATTTTTGCTGTAGGGCACATGCACTCACCAGAGAGACAGAGAGAGATGGAGAAAGAGAAAAACAAGAAATCACCCCAGAGAGGGGAGATGACCACGCCACAACCCCTTCTCCTCCACTCTCTTCTCGAAGCCTGTAGTTGAGCACTGGCTACTGTGAGGAACAAGAAGTGTGGTGAGAGTTGTGGAGAAAGCTCTCTGGAGGCCACGGCTGGCCGGAATGATCCATCCACACAGCAGTCGTTTGCTGAGTGCACTCAGATCACGCACCTCACGCACCTCGGAGGTGGCATTTGGGAGGGCACGAGCCGTGCCCAGGCGGCAAGCTGCTGTCACCCCACACTCCCCTGTGGGGCCGCGTCCCGCGGACACCTGCATGCCCTTCCCCCTTCCCGGGCTGCACTGCCTTCGTGGCCCCCTCGCTCCTCCTGGTCCTCCTCTCCCTGCTGACGTGGTCCCGTTTGTTGCCCTAAGATGCCGTGACGGAACTCAGTAACGAGTTTAAGGAGGCAGGGGAGCCCATCACAGACGACAGCACCAGCCTGCACAAGTTCTCCTATAAGCTGGAGTACCTCCTGCAAGTAAGTGGCGCCCGGCTGGTCTGCGCAGGGCGAGCCCTTGCTTCCCTCTCAGTGACGCCTCCGCCTTCAGGGAGCAGTTCAGAAAGCCACGAGGAGCCCTCAGGCCCTCGTGGCCAGGCCAGGTCAGAGCAGTCCCCAGCGAGGGCTCCGTCCTCAGTGTGACCCTCGGGGGAACAGCACCTCGCCTCTAGGATGGTTTAGGGAATCGAGAACATTCTTTAGAGATGTAAGACAGGTCACAAAGTCCCGGCGCAGCAAGGATCTTAACTTTGGGGCAATGAGATGCCCCTTTGAGAGTCTGCTGAAAGCTATGACGTCTCTTCCCAAAGACAGATATAAATAGGGAGACAGATATGGATGCAGACGTACATGTTGTCAGTGCACTTCGCTGGAAATTCCCAAGAGTGTGTGGACCTGGGAAGACTCCCCATGGGCCCCTGTCTTAGAGCTTTGCTATCCAAAATGTGGCCCATGGAGCAGCAAGGTCAGTGTCACCTGGGAGCAGGACAGACGCGCATTCTTGCCGCCCACCCT